TTCCTTCCTTCCTTCCTTCCTTCCTTCCTTCCTTCCTTCCTTCCTTCATTCCTTCCTCTCTTCCGTCAAATGGGATGATAATGAGAATACTACCTAGCAGGGTTGTTGTGAGGATCTCATAATTAGTTTATAAAGCTGTTAGCAAACCTTAAAGTTTTATAGCACTTTATAGCCATTGTAGATATTAGTACCTGCTGTGCCACCTAGCTGATAACCATAAATATCTTTATCCTCCTTCCTCTTCTTTGTGGAGTTGGGAGGCTGTGGGGAAAAGGGGAAGAATATTGCATTTAATGTGAGCCTCTTTTGATGTATTGGTAAGTTTCTCTGACCTTGCTTTCTCCCTCTTTTAAAAAACTCTTTGTTATAAGAGAGGAGGTGGAGAAGCGCATTGCATCCACAACTCCTCTTTGTCAAGGACTCCTGAAAGGGTGGAGCTGATAACACCCTCTTGGTCTGGTTGGATTAATGACTTTAGCAGTAGATGCTGGTGGTTATTGTGTGACTACTTCTCTGCTGGATTCAGTATTTAAACCTCCTTTACTGGAAAAGCCCCTAATTCTAGCTTTGAAAAAAGTGCCATATGTAAGTAAAAGTTAATTAAAGAGAAAAAAAAAAACGCTGGCCAAATGAGGAAGCAACTGGTTGTTTTCTCTTTGGGATGGGGGTGGGGGTCAGGATGGGAGAAAGAAAGAAGGAAAGATAAGCTTTAATGAAGGGATATGAATTGCATTTCTCTCTACTAGTCCTTATCCATTCACTTGACAGAAACCTTTTCCAATTGGAATAAACCAGGTGACTTATAGGTATTGTAGCCTAATCTGGGACTCCCCATTGTTGGGTGGCCCCATGACCTTGAACTGGAAACACTTCTGGGAGACTGAGCTGTTTACATGAATCTTGTACAGAAATAAGGAACAAGGTGGGGGTGGGGGGTGGCTGGCACAGGCCTCAGCAGCTCTTTGGACGTTTGCCAGGACGTTGCAGTGGAGGCTGTGGCCGAGGGCTGGTAGTTATAAGGGGCGGACTCGTCTACCTGCCCCTGCCTTCTTCCTCAAGCTGAAGTTATGGTCTGCTTGTGCTGTTAAAATAGACTTTGTAACTAAGCTATCAGCTGACAGAAGACTCAGAATCAATCTTTAAGCACCGGATTCCTGGGTAGGTAACAAAGTTAAGTTTCTTTCTTTTTTCTTTTATTATCCTTTACAAGAGGAGGCAGTGTGAAGTAGTGGGTAGAGAGTAGGCCTTGGAGTCAGGAAGACCTGGGTTTGAGTGCTGCTTCTGACATCCTGGCAGAGTGATCCTGGACAATGTCCTTGACCTCTCAGTGCCTGGGGCGGCTCTCTTACCCCCTAAGAGGCTGATCTGCTGTGGCCAGAGGAGTTTCTTCACCCTGGAGTTCTCTTGGGCTTGGGCACTATTGGGGTCTAGAACAGCTTGAGCCTTGAGCCTAGAACAGCTTCTGATTGATCCAAGGATGCTGTACTCAACTGATGTCAACTCCATGTTATGTCTCCATATACTAACAGTGCCTTGCCTACGGTAGGCACTTATGAAATCCTTTATCGATTGATTGATTATGGCATACGAGGCCTCTTCTGGCAAAATGGAAACATACACACTGTGTGTATATGTATGTTTGTGTATTTTTAATGGTCTAGGATGGAGCTGTCTGTCTCCTTTAGATAAATTACCCTGAAACCTATTGTTTTTATCCTGTGTCATAGAAGAGGGGAAGAGGGGGAAAGAAACAAGCGTTTAACTAAGCATCAAACACTTTGCCAAACACTCTGCTAAGCATTTTACAAATATTATCTCATTTGATCCTCACGAAAGCCTTGTAAGGTAAATGCTGTTATTATCCCCATTTTATAGTTGAGGAAACTGAGCTAAACAGAGATTATGGAAGGCAAGGCTGAAATTTAGTGAAAATTAGAATTTTTTTTATTATGGATACCTCTATTTCAAATTTGTTGAATGTCAATCTGAACATAACCTATGAATGTCATGTGATTTTCTTTTTTAAAGCACATTTTAAGATGATGGTAGGTCACGAAGTGGGTAGAAAGAGAAGGCTGAGGGGAAGCATAGCCATGGCTGAAATAAATGGGTTCCCCTAGAGAGAGGAGCATAGTAAGCTGTGGATCAGAAGAGCAGAGGCTCGAACAAAATTGTTGAAGTAGGTCACTCGTTGGAAAAAGGTAACAGAGGGTGTGCGAGCTCAATGAGTCAAGAAAGCTCATGAGATCTGATGCTGTATTTGGAAAGTCACGGTGCTCAGTCCCAGGGAGGTGAGAGTCCTTTGGCAACCTGCCCTGGTCAGATCACAGCTGGAGTGTGGGTTCAATTCAGGGCACCACTTTTCGGAAAAACATTGAGTTTGATCAGTCATTGGTGCAGTGAACCAAAAGATGTTTATCCTCCAGAAGAAATGTGGGCTAGAGATTAGCCTTGCTCAGCTTGAGGGCAGAACTATTTGCAGCCTTTGTAAATTCCCAGAGAGGCTGATTTAAAGTTGAAAAACTTGCAGACACTTTTTCAAAAGTGGGACGGGCTGTCTGGGCAGGGTGGTGGGTTCCCTCTTCCTGGAGGTCCTCAAGTGAAGGATGCTCACTTGTCCTTTCCGTTCTGATGTTCAGTGATTTCCTGATTCTGTCTGTGAAAAATCAGGGCGCCCCCTCCCTCTCTGGACACTTGCCTTTGAGCTCAGGCACCTCTGCTAAATGGAACTCCTTTACCAGGAGTCTGGCCGGGACGGATGAGCATGGATTCATTATCCCAGGGTGACTTCAAGGGAAAGCTTATAAAGAAAAGTTATTCATGCCACAGAGAGTTTCAGAAATCTGGTAAAGCTTTGGAGGGTTCTGGGTCAGCTCAGAGCGCGATAAAGCATCAGAGGGAGACAGCTTGATACTTCCTCTCCAGAAAGGGATGTGGCAACACCCCACTTTCCCTAGAGCGATAGACTGAAAGTTGGCATGCTTCACCTTTCGATAGTTGGGGTATCAAAGTTGGATTGATGGTTACCCTCTCGATCTCTTCGATGCTAGACCTGAGGAGCGCCTGGATTCACATTCTGGCTCCCCCACTTTCAGCCTGTGTGTCCTTGACTTTATCTCCCTGGGCCTCAGTTATCTCATCTGTAAAATGAGGAGATTGGACTAAATGATCACTAATGTCTCTTCTGACTCTGAGTATGCTATTTTAAATAATATAAGATATCATTATTTATATATATGTATACATATACATATACATATGTGAATGAATGAATACCTGGGATTTCATTGGCATAGGGAATTCCTAGATGAGGAAAACTTTTCTACTAATTCTGGGGCTGCACCTTCCCTGAAGTGCACAGTCTTTTTATTTTTCTTTTTGGTGAGGCAATCAGGGTTAAGTGACTTGCCCAGAGTCACACAGCTAGTAAATGTTGAAGTGCATAGTCTTAAGGAGGTGCCTGGGGCCAGTGTTGAGTCCAAGGAAGGACTTGAACCCAGGTTTCTGGCTCTAAGGCCAGCTCTCTAACTATTGTGCCGTATTGTCTTTCATGTCTGTATTTACTTATTAGTATACATGTTTGTCCAACAGGTAGATTTGAGCTCCTTGAGGGCAGAGTTTGTTTTGTTTTTATCTCTTTATCTAATAATAGCTAGTATTTATACAGTGTTTTAAGTTTTTCAAATATTTACGAGTATTATTTCATTATGAAAACATGAGTTATTTACAAATATTATCTCATTTGATCCTCGTAACAACCCTGTGAGGTAGATGCTATTATTATTCCCGTTTTACAGTTGGGGAAACTGAGACAGGCAAATGTTAAGAATCTTACAGTGTGCATAGTTCTTGGCACATAGTAGATGCTTAATAAATGTTTATCGAGTCCAACTGAATTTAGTTCCTCCAATAATGATTATGACATGACTACGATAATATAAGTGGAAAGAACACTAAAAAGGAAACTAAAATCTTGAGTAATTCTAATAACCAGTATCGGTCCCAAAGAGAGGCACAAATTTGCCCAGGTTTCTCCAAATTCCTCTTCTTCATTATTTCCTTTTTTTAAAAAATTTATAATTTTTATTTTCAGTTCCAAATTCTCTCCCTCCTTCCACCCCTCCCTACCCATTAGAAGGCGAAAAACTCTTCATGGTTTGTAATCATACAATACTAGTCTATTATATTCATATGCCGTTGTTCCACAATTTAATATTTGAGTACTTGCGGAGTCTTCTGTAATATGCTAGGTGAAGACTACTTAACATTGTACTGAGATCTCTTTGAAATGAGTGCTCATGTGGCTAATACACTGGGGTCAGCGATTTCATAAATATGGGACCATTGGGTTTTAGAAGTGAGAAAATATCCCACTGCACATAATTTCCCTCCCCCCCTCCTTCACAGAAATAGGAATCCAGGGGTCTCTCCCTCCTCTTCATCCTCTGATGGTATAGCATTTGCTGTGGCTCCAGCATCCCATAGCCAGGAAAGCCTCTCCTTGTGTTCCCCAGGTCTCCACAAGCAAACTCTGCTCCTGCTGGACCAATCCATTTTAGTCCAGTCAGCATTTATTACGGACTGCCATATGCAAGGCAAGAGATGACCTGGTATGGTGGCTAGAGAGTGAACTTAGAATCAGGAAGACCTGGGTTGAGTCTGGCTTCCGATACGTAGCCGCTGAGCGACGCTGGGCCTCTCGTGTTACCTGGTTCAGGGTCTTAGTTCACTACCGCTATAAATTACAGAGTATGCACATTAGTAGAGAGAGTTTCTTCTCCCAGTTCCCTGGACCAATGAAAACATGAGTTTAGTCCAGTGAAAATGTGCAAGGCATTGTGCTTGTTTCTGGGCACTCAAAGTCAAGTAAAGTCTACTGGCATTTATTGAGCTTCTACCGTCTGCAGTAAGTTATGGTCAACTAGCGTTTATTAAGAGCTTGCTATGTGCCAGTAAGTCAGTGAGTCAGCTAGCATTTATTAAGCATCTACCATGTGCCAAGCACTGTGCTAAATGCTGGAAATACAAAAACAGGCAAAACTCCCAAGCCCTGCTCTCCAGTCTAATGGAGGAGACAACATGCAAAAAATAAGATACAGACAGAAAACATTGAAGGTAATCTCAAAGTGAAGACAATAAGGTTAAAGAGGAATTTAGTTGAGACTTGAAGGAAGCCAGGAAGTGGAGTAAGGTGTAAAAAGACTGGAAAGGTGGGGAGGAGCCAGATCATGAAAGGCTTTGAATGCTAGAGGATTTTTATTAGATCCTGGAGGTGATAGGGAGTCAGTGGAGTTTATTGATTGGGCAGTAACATGGTGGGACCTGCACTTTGGGGAAATCGATTTGGTGGCTGGAGGATGGTTTGGAGCAGGGAGAGACTTGAGGTAGACAGCCCCACCTACAGCCTATGCTAATAGTCCAGGTGTGAGGTGATGAGGGCCTGCCCCAGGGTGGGGGCAGGTGAAAGAAGAGAGATGTTGTGAAGGTAGAAAGTAGAGGATTGGCAACTGATTAGATGAGAGAGGGGGAGAAGCCAGGGTCAAAATAGGAATAAAAGAACTTCTGCCCTCAAGGAGTTTACATTTTACTGGGCAGCACCAGCTTGGAAGCAGACAGGTAGGTTTTGAACCCTGACCCTGTGACCCCAAATGCGTCGTGCTTCCTCCTGTACCATGCTGCCTGTCTCTTCAGCGTATTTTCAAAGTTGGCTTTGGCTGTGCACCAGGAGTTGTTAACTTCAATTAAAACTCAAGTAGCCTTTGATGTCTAGCAGTCTATTTGTTTTTTCTTTCAGGAATCAGTTATAAAACTGCCGGAAGAAGCCGTAAAAATAGCCAGGATTCCTGATAGCTTTTCAAAGTTAGGTGCCCTTTGGATCTTCTATTCTAACATTATCATGAGGTACTGGGTGGGCTTGTGCCACAAGGTGTTGTATAGCACAGTGCCAGGCATATAGTGGGCACTTAATGAATGCTTAATGATGACTCGATGGGGGGACCGTCCGTCATATTAAAGGATCCTACTTGGGTAGCTTGTGAAATTGGTTAAAGTGTTATTCGCTGAATTTTGGAGAAGAGGATACTTTTCGGTTTCTTTTTCCTATTATTTTTCTGGGTCATCCTATGCTGGGTAGTCTATTGTCAGCGCTATGACTTGCA